AATGAGATAGCAGACTTTATGAAAATAAAAGATATACCCACTATCTGAATTAAGTGACCCAAAATGGATATGTGACTTGGCATTTCTGGTCGATCTTACAGGCTATTTGAATTATTTAAATTTGAAACTTTAAAAACAAGGACAGTTAGTAAATGATTTGTACAGCCATGTGAAAGCGTTTCAGATCAAACTACGCTTGTGGGAGTCACAGATGCTGGTCTGGTAACAGTGACCATTTCTACACGCTCTCTGCGTATGAAAATATTACTTATGCTCAATATGCTGAAGAACTCAAGTTACTGTCGGAACATTTTTCGAACATATTTAGCGACTTCAAAAACATGGAAGACATTTTCAGTTTATTTGCTACTCCTACAAAATATAATGTACATAATTTAAAATTAAAAATTTTGTACAGCCGACTTCAATATAAGTTATTTAAGAATAACTTAAAAACTATTGGTCTGACCTTGATCAAATTCATATGGGACCACACGAGAAGTACCAGCTTTCAAATAAAAAAAGAATCATCGAAATCGGTTCACCCAGAAAAAAGTTCTGAGGTAACACACATAAAAAAAAAACCAAAAAAAAAAAACATACAGTCGAATTGAGTACCGGCTCCTTTTTGGAAGTCGGCAGAAAATGCTCCAATACATACATAAATGGAGTTGATTGAGATTCAAGAAAACTCACTCCTAAAATACAAATTTGAAGACGTAGAGGTGTGCGTTTTCTACAAAAAATACCTAGAAAAAGACAATTTGCGGCAGCTTAGAAAATTCGTAAGAAGATTGATTTGTGCGTTTGGCAGTACTTATAAATGCGAACAGTTCTTTTCATTGATGAAAGTTAATAAATCAACACATCGTACAAGACTGAATGACGATAATTTGGAAAATTCTTTACGACTTTGTATCAGTGGAATTAATCCAAATATCAATGGATTAGTTTCCCAAATTCAAGCTCAAGTGTCTCATTGATTTCGGTGTAAGTATTTAACTTTCGTAGTTTGTAACAATTGCAAATTTAACGATTTAATTAAAATGTACCATATTATTAAATTTCTTTTTTCGTTATAACATTGTCGTATTATTTCATGTCTAATATCTATCGCAAAAAATATTATCTAAACTTTAAAATGCACTAAGTACTTTTAAACGCGGCCCGCTAACGTTATTTGCAAGCGAAAGTTTGGCCCTCAACATGTCAAAGCTTGCCCATACCTGATTTATAACTTTCAAATAAATTTGTCGGTACGGTAGGCGCGCTACTTACTGTTAGTTAATTATACTATGCCAATAACCTTCACGAAAGCAATATGTTGACAAAGTTTTACCGCAATCTGATGAAGAGTATGGCAGCGCATAAAATACGAACGAACAAGAAATTATTTTCATATATTAGATATGAATCTAATCTAACAGCCAGTTGAAAAAAAGTCACATAAAATACTGATTATAAATTTTACAGCTAGTAATTTACTATAAAATACCGAGCTATGAATACAGAAGCTCGGTAGTCTGCCGCGAAATATAGAATTATGCTATCTACAATTGCAAAATTATGCCGTCCTATGTTATAAACGTCTGCAAAAACAGTTGCTGTTTTTAAAATAAGGATGTCTTTTCCTTTAGAAGTAATCAATCCTCTGTTTAATTTAACTAAAATCTTAAAATGTTGTGACCAAATATCTCGGAGTTAGTGATGTATTACCTCGTTCAATGTCCTCGTGACGGCAAATTGCAAGAGTTACTCTTTCAACATTGGACCAACTCATTCAATTGTTCACGACCTTACACAAATGACAATACGAATTTTGTCGCGAATGAGTTTAATTTAAAGAATAAGGGTGACAAACGAACACACAGTCCAACTAATGGTAAGTGGATTGTCTGGCCCATAGACATCTACATCTATCCTCCATTAAGAATTAAAATGCAGATGCGTTGACACCCCTGAGGACTAAGAAGGAAAGCCTCGTTTTAACACAGTAGCATTGGGCTGCTATTTTACGCTGGCATTCTATAGGAGCGCGGTCCTTCCCCGGTTGAGCCGACCCATTCGTGCTACAACCATAATATAGCTGCCAAGCTTGAATAACATGACCAATAAACGCAAATACTAGGCGCCATGGTATTAGTGTTGTAATTTAAGAACATTATTGTTTTCCTAAAATATAGGAATTTGTATAAAAATGGTTTAATTTAACAAGATTGTAATTGATTATATTGTGTTTGCGGTATTATAGGTTATAACTTAATAACTAAGATACCCTTTTTACTATATTTAACCCGGGAACGGTGACCTATATGTCTGTGGGACCGGGTGACTTGAAAAATTCGAATAACTTTTTCCGCCGCCGCCGATTTTTGTCGCGATTTCGAGTAGCTGCCTCATTTCCCCTCCCACACCGTCAGTTCACCCGGCAACGTCGGAGCAGGCGTACGTTCCTGAGTTTTGGCGCCAGCCCGGTGCGGTACACCGGGGTCACCGAATATGTAAGTAAAACAGGCCGAATTGAATTATTGAATATTCGTTTTTTGTCTGATTAATGTACATTGTTTACTTACATTTGTTATTTTTTATTGTATTATCCTATAATCAGTAAGTTTATTGCATGATTTTATCAAAATATAATATATCAAATATTGTATCTTGTTTCAAATATAAACTTTGTTACAGTATGTCGTACGAAAGGGAACAGCATCGTCTAGAATCGCTTCTTCATGAACTGCTTGATGACGACAGACCATCAATGTCTTCAGACAGTGAAGCTGGAAGTGACATCGAACTGGAGAATCCTTCACCAAACGACATACAGGATTCAAACAGCGAAGAGGAGCTAAGTGAATGAGAAGTTTCAGGTAACTACAGCGCCTTTTATTTAGGAAAGGATAAAAGTACGAAATGGAGCAAAGAACTTCACCTCTCCAAAATGAAACGTCGTCAATTCATTGAGAATTTGGCTATGAAATTAATTGAACCCCACATAAGAGAACGACAGATGCACTTGCACCTGCCGCGGTCAATGAGACAAAGACTGTCTGAAATTTTGAAGATAGATGAGGTATCTGGAACGGCAGGTCCATCACGAAATGGCCGTTGCTTTGTATGTGGATGGAAAAAAAATAGAAACACCAAATACACTTGCCAAAAATGCAAGAAACATTTGTGTCTTGAGCACGTAGTGCCTTATTGCAGTATTTGCTTGACTGAAGAATAGTGATTTTCAAAGAATTTTTTTTGTTATTTTTTGTTGGTAAGATGCCATTTTTGTTTATTATAAGTAAGTTCCTAGAGAGTAAAAACTGATAAGACTGAATTAATTTTAAAATTATGTTGATTATTGAATTTTCAAATTTTTACTAAATTTATAGGGTCTATGTGAAGTTGTCTAATCATAATAAAAAGTAAATAAACGAGGCCGTGATTAATGAAATGTTGTTGTTTTAATGTCAAATAATTTATAATTAATAAATAAAATGGTCAGTAAATAAAATATTTAGAAAAATCTTCCATTGAAAACCCCGGTGCGTGGGACCGGGATCACCGAAGATGTAAGTCAAATCGTCGTCACCGTTGGCGGGTTAAAGATATCAGATGTAAGTATTTAATTATATCTCATGATGTTGTTGGTTTATGTACACATATAATTTAACATTAAATTACGTTAGTCTTAATTTGATTGTTATAAATAACACTTGTTAGACTAAATTATCTTTCATTTAATTCAACCGAGACTTAATAGGACATCATTTTAACTGATAACAAAACTTTTCGGAAAATTATAATCCTTGCACTGGGGATTTACAAGAAGTACAAGGGCTGTTTGCAACATTTTTATCTGGCGCACATGCGCAATTCTTGCCATGTCTTAGTCACAAAGTCACGCACACAAAGCCTACACTAACGTCTTTACTTATTTCGTCGCAATTGTTAGCGGTAACTCTGTCTTTACATTTTTATTGGTCTGCGCACCTTTTGGCACTGGTAAAATTACTTTATAACAATCTAGACTTGTACAATCACAAAAGTCATACAATAACGCAGGCCCAGTTTCTTTAAAAAAAATTGAAACCCCAAATATTGGGAATTACTACGAGTATGTCGTAGAAGCTTTTTACTTATAGAAGTTATACGTATTAAATTTTGTATTTTATTAAATTGTATTATAGTGGAGTCACGCTTATTGTGGACTAGTAAGCTAAAGTGGCAAAGTGCCGGCCATATAGCTCGAAGAACCGACAACCGATAGGGAAGAAATTTTCTCGATTGGCAGCCTCGTACCAGTAGGCAAAATGTAGGGCGACCCACTAAATGGAGTGATGAACTGATAGAGGCGAAATGTATGGCGACCCCCCCACCCTAGATGGAGTGTGATATCTAGGAAGTCGATGGATGTAGGTGGCTCAGGAACGCGCTTTGTCATTCCTTGGGGCAGGCCTATGTTCAGCAGTGGACTTGTGAAGGGCTGTAAAGATGATGATGATGATGATGATGAGAGTCACGCTGCAGCTATACATAATTTCAACTCGAATGGGTTGACTCAACCGGGGTAAGCCCATGATTTCACTGAATGCAGCACAATAAACAATATAATACGCGTGAAAAAGCAGAATAATGCTGCTGTTTTCCGTATAGTGATTGAGTAGATGAGCAAGCTTTTTATATTTTGTTGTATCATCTCCACCGTAGTTACATAGCTAGTATATAAGGAGGATATTTGGACTAAGTTTAGTACATCATAAAAAGTAATTCTCAGTTTTCACGCTGAATAATGACTTCTCGGGTCAACAGTTTTTCTTTTCAATAAAAATTATATCTACCACAGCCATATTTTTAGGTTTTTTTTTCATTATTTTCTTATTTTACAATGCGCAATCCTAAAATTACCAATACTAAACTTATACTTATACCAATACTAAACTTAATATCATTGTTATTAAGTATCAAGCAAACAAATTTTAAATTAAAATAAAATAGAAACATGCAGACATAGCCACAATTCTTCATATATTATTCCCAATCGGTCCACTTTTAAAGGAGGAAATAGGTAAATAATACAGGATGGTGATTTCGTCAACTTCTCATAGGTATAACTACTCCCAGCTGAAATTGTCTCCCTTGGTTTTGTGGCTTTGTCGTTTGGGCATAGCGCATCAATAGGTCATTAAAAAGCCATTTCTCAGATGTATTGCAGCCCGTATACTCTCCTGAGCTTTTGAAGTATCAGAAATAGCGCTGGATTTAGCATTAGCGATGTGATTTCCTGGACCCCTTTTTTACTTCCTATATTAGGAAAAATAGTATTTTCCAAGACCGTACGCCCATAAGCAGTTGTATACTCTACTTTTTGTGAAATTTGATGACTGTATGAGTAAGGAATTAACGTGATCTGCCGAAGTTATTTAACTTTGATTGCGTGTGTGAAATGTGATTTATGTATCGATCATATAACGTCGTCGAATGTTTCTCTTTATGAAGAGAGTCTGAATAACGTCCACATTAAGACCCTTCGTTTCTGGTAAGAAGAAGAAACAGAAGATGACGGAAAAGAAGCAGGCGACCGCGAAGAAGTAGAAGACTGGACCCAAGCCGATTGCCGTGACGAGTGGGTTGTAGATGAAGAGGACGATGAAACTGCAGACCATGAACCACTCGACTTCAATCATTACTGCAACGCTCTTGATCTGAACAGACGATATTTTTTGTTATAAAATTGAAGTGAAAAACAAACTTTAAGTTCACCAAGCTGCTAATGCATCCCATGGACACCTACAACCAACTTCATACAAAATGCTACAGATGAGTTGACATCTGAGGACTAAGATGGAATGCCTCAAAGGTGTAATTATACCCTTCAGACCAAATTTGCACAGCAGTGCAAGTGGGCACATTTTATTTATGGCAGTGGAGCCACATTGGGGAATTGGATTCAACCGGAGACCATTATCACTAGAAACGAAACATTACATCTAAGTTATCAGGGGTGACAACGAATCTGCATTTTGATTCTTAATCAAGGATAGTTGTAGATGTCTATGGACTATCAGGTGGACTGATGACATTTGTCACTCTTATTATATAAAAACAGTTTTATTACAAAATTATTTTTTAATTAGATACTTTTACACTAAAGAAGGCCAGTGGAAAAATATGTAAACTAAAATCTAAAGTATTTTACATTTGACGATATTCAACATTTTACAACAAATTTTGAATATTGCGAACCCTGTGGCGACGCGGCTAACGTACTTTTGTAACAAATATTCATCCTAAACCCGAGAATATCAATCAATACATTACAGCCCAGAAAAGTGTACAGCTGAACATGATCTTCCGTATGGATTGCCTCTTAAGGGGTTTTTGGCATAGTTTAAAATCTTTTCAAGCGGGTTGGTTTTTTATTATTTCGAGGTGTTATCAGGAAGATACTGCTGCCTATTTCCTGTTTCAGTTTACCTCTGTCGCCTCTTACGACACCCACGGAACGATATGGGGTAGTGCATATTCTTAAACCGCCACTACATGGTTAAGATGATCGGTCAGTGGTTTGTTTTTAATAAGGCTATAACCATGCAATTTTGGCATATTTATGTCCTTTTTGTTTCGCAGAACTCTTATATAATTGTATTATATCTGAATATCTGGACTACTTAGAAAATATTCCTAAACTTATTCAACTATTCCTATTCCTTAATTAAATTTCAATCAGGTCTAATATTAATTACTAATAGACCTGGTTGAAATTCAAATGCAACCAATTTAAAACTACAATTCCTCGGAAATTAGTGTGGATCTGTTAAATGGCGTCATTAAAGTAAATCTGAGCCTGGTAGACATAATAGAAACACAAGGCAAGATGCGGTGCAGCGCAAGAGAAATCCACTTTCCAGCGAGGTCCGCAGATATTTCTATCGGGTTGTACCGTAAAACTATACCGTAGCTAACGGGAGCGCTCGTCTTAAAATGGAAATTAACACAGTTAGCTAGCAAGCCGAGATCGATCTCCACCAGCATTAATGAAATTTTTAACTGCAATTTTATATGCTGAATTACCACGTGTTCGACAGGTATAGTAAGGAAACTTTCAAAATATTAAGAACATAACATGAAGTCCTTCAATACTTATTGGAAGATCGTGGCTCACTCTTCTGCCCTCTGATACTCTTAGGGTACACACGTAATCTTTTACTTAACTTTTTAGACTATGAAAATGATTTCTTATGATAAAAAAGCACCTCAAAAATGTATTTTATACTCGTAACAAAAAAAATTCGATGTCATAATCTTTTTCAACTTTAATCTTTTAGGTCAAAAATTGCATAAAATTCTTTATCGCGGGAACGGACCCCGATTAAAAAATACCTTTAGATAGGCTTTGGCGGTAACTTGGTATTACTATGATTTATTTTTATCACGGTATCGGTGTCACAGCAGGTAATTCCATGAGTGTCTTAAGAGTTGTACAGAGGTAAACTAAAACAGAATGTGAGCAACAGCATCTTCCTGATAACATTTCAATAATAATTTAAAAAAAGCCGTGGTTAGCAACAAAACCGTCTAGCGTGGCACCTTTGCCAAAAATAGAAATATTATGAGACAACCTATGGGGGAGGGCGGACTACCCAACTGCGAAATTTTCATAAATACTATATATTATATTGCCTGAATTAATCAATCATATATATATATATATATTATAGTTTTATACATATAAATACCTGCATATAATCACGCCTATTTCCCGTAGGGGTGGGTAGAGACCACTTCTTTCCACTTGCTACGATCCTTACATACTTGTTTCGCTTTGTCTACTTTCATTATTCTCTTCATACATGCTCTACGGTTTAGGGTGCTCTTGACCTGACTTTTTTTCAAGACGTCCTTCCAACACTTTCATTCATCGTTATACACTTTTTTCATCAATCGTTCTTCATTCATACCCTCGACGTAGCCAAACTATCTCAGCATACCTTTCTCAATTTTTGTCACTACATCTTCTTTCATACCACAACGTTTCCTTAGCTCACTATTTTTAATCCTCACTTCCCTCGACGTTGCCAAACCATCTCAGCATACCTTTCTCAATTTTTGTCACTACATCTTCTTTCATACCACAACGTTTCCTTATCTCACTATTTTTAATCCTCACTCAGTTTAACTCCCATCATACTTCTTAACGCTCTCATCTCAACTGCATTTATTCTGCTTTCATATTTCTTCTGCTATACCCAACTTTCACTTCCGTACATGAGTGTCGGAACCAACACCTCCTCATGCACAGCCAAACGAGCCTTGTTAGACACCTTCCGATAGCTCATAAAGGAGTGCAAAGCTCCATTCACCATGTTTGCTGCATTCACTCTTCTTTCGATAGCACTCTCACACTTTCCATCTCTTTTAAACTTTAAACCCAGACACACAAACTCTTTCACCTGTTCAATTTGTTCATTTCCAATCAAGATATTGCAGTCTGTCACTGCCTCATCTCTTTCAAACACCATCACATTCGTCTTCCTTACATTCATCTTCATTCCCTTTTAACGTGGTAGAGCCATGCCGCAGCTATAGTAGTAGTATAGTTGTAGCACGAATGGGTCGGCTCAATCGGGGAAGGACCACGCTCTCACAGAAAACCAGCGTAAAATAGCAGCTTAACGCTGCTGTATTTCGTATGGTGAGTGTAGAGAACCGGAGACCCTTTTTACTGGCAAAGAGATATTCCATCTTAGTCCTCACGGGTGACAACACATCTGCATCTTGAGTCTTTATTGAGGATATATGTAGATGTCTATGTGTTACAGTAACCACTTACCATCAGGTCGACTGTGTGCTCGTTTGTCACCCGATCCTATAAAAAAAATCTTCATTCCCTTTCTAACAAAAGCTTCACTCATAGTAGTTACCATCTCCTGCAACTCCTCGGCCGAAGGCGCAAGTAATACTTGATCATCAGCATAGAGAAAACATTTGACGAGTAACTCATTCATTCTCAACCCTCTTCCATTCTCTTTTAAATCTCTCAAACAATTGTCCATGGTCAGATTAAACCGCCACGGTGACGCTACACATCCCTGTCTAACACTTTTTCGATATTAAGCCATTCAGTTTATGCCCCTTTTATCCTTACACAGGCACTAGAATCCCTATAAAGAGATTGCAATGCTCGTATGAGCATACTGCTCACACCGTTCACGGACAGTGCTGATCACAATTCATTCCTCACCACTCTATTAAAGACCGTTTCTAGGTCCACGAACGCGCAATAAACCTTCTTGTTTTTATCCAAACACTTTTCGGCTATGCACCGCAAGGAAAAGACCTGATCCGTACATCCCATACCCTTTCTAAATCCCGCTTGTGCATCCCATATTTTTTGGTCTGTTTCATTCACAACCCTTTCAATCAACACTTTTGCATACAATTTACTGACGACGCTGAGAAGGCTTATACCGCGGTAATTTATGCAGTTCTGTCGTGACCCTTTTTCCTTATACAAAGGCATGATTACGGCTTTGCACCAGTCTCCTGGTACTTGCCCATTTCGCCAGCACAAATTGAAAAGGCAGTACAGCTGACTAGCCACTATGCCCTGTCCAACCCTCAGCATCTCGACGGTAAGCCTGTCATACCCTATAGCCTTACCTGATCTCATACTTTTCAACGCTTTCACTATTTCATCCATGCTTATCTCATTTTCATCAACATTTATATTAGTTTCCATGGAAGGTGCCGGATGCTGTACCTGCACTTCCTCTCTTTCAAGCAAACTTTCAAAATACACTTTCCATCTCTTTAACGCACATTCTTCTCCTTTTATAATGCTACCATCTTGACTCGTGATTGTACTCAGCTTCGAGGTAGAAGTTTTTCCTCTGGCTGTTTTGATGGATTTCCAGAAAAACTTAATGTTTGACTGGAAATCTTCAGTGAGCCTCCTATCGAAATATACTTTCTTTCTTCTTTTTTTCTAGACACAACTTCTTTCGCTGCTGTTTTCAATATTTTATACTTCGTTCTGCTTTCCTTTATCTCGTCATCCGTTGCTTTTTAAACTTCTGGTTAGCTTTTATTGCTAACCAATCCAACCACGCTTTCTTCTTTTCTTGCACCACCCTTTGTACATCTTTATCCATTCACACGTTATAATTCTTTCTTCCTTTCTTTCTTTTAGCTACCCCGCATACCGCAATAGCATTTTTCACGACCCCTTTCTTAAATCTTCAATCACACCTATCTCTTCTATGCCTTTAAAACTTTCTTCCAGTTTCTTCTTCTTCTTTTTTCGGTGTCGCCACCGTTTAAAGAGTTCACGCATTCGGGATATGACCAGGAAGTAGTCTGTGTCGAGGTCTACGCCTCTGTATGCCCGAGAGCACTTTCTTCCTCAGTCTTTCATCCACAATTACAAAATCAATCATACTTATAGACTCACCCTCATCTCTTGTATACAAATGGATCATTTGTGGTCAAATATTGTATTAGCCCCGTACAAATTCCATTACAAGCATACTTCAAGCGGGCTTCTCCCATTGTCATTCACTATCTCGTCCCCAAACGTACCCAGAACTCCTTCATACCCATTACGCTTTACTCCAACCCATCCATTAAAGTTCCCTAACATCACGATCCGTTCATTTTGTCCGCATTTATTCAAGACCTCTCTCATGCTATTCCAAAATTCCTCTTTCTCTTGTTGGGATTTTAATGACCCACTTCCCATAAACCCCAAGGATAAACAAGCGAGTGAGTCCGACTTTTAACCTAATCCAGAGGAGTCTTGGGCTTACACATTCATGCTCCATCACACATTCAACCATTCGAGATGAAAGGATCACACCCACTCCCTGACAACCTCGGCTGGTTTGGGGCTTCCAACCAGTATGCCGTGTAGAGGCCATGAACCGTGGTGTCACATCCTTTCCTCTTGGTTTCTTTCACGGACAGAATATCAATGCGTCGTTTATCTATCATCTAACATACTTCATCTACCTTACCATCCATTCCTCTTCTTACATTCAAATCGCCCTTGCGAGAAACGAGATGTGATGGTGGCGAAAGATTATCCACTGCTTTTCTACGAATAGCGAGAGTAAGGTTTATCCCCCCAGCAGAGCCCCGCATGCCAGGGTAAGGCTAGCTTAATTCTGGGGTCGCCCGGTTCCAGGGCAATTTGCCACGCTAACTACTAGGCTTGCCCCTAGCCATGCATCCATCCGCGCGGCAGACGTTGGATTGACGGAGGGGGTAGGAATATAGTTTTATAGCTTATTTAAAAATAAACATTAATGTTTACTAACCTCTGGTAAGAATATCTCTGCAAACAACACGCAGGGAACGGTCCCAGCTCCGCATGCGAAAGTCACGCCGTATATAAACATGAACATTACAGTGACCCAATGCGGACCCCAGTGCAGCTGAATTTGGGTACCCAGGAGCACGCAGCATACACCAGTAGCAAAGGAAGCGTAGATCATTAACAGCTGAAATTGGTAGTTAGATTTTAGTTAATAACGTGAAAGCCGTATAGTGGTGGCGTAATAGCATCCGTTACCACATATCATTCCGTGGGTGTCATAAGAAGCAACAACACACAGACAATCTAATAACAACTATAATAGTAAAAAAATGGCAAATATGAAAAAGATTATCTATTAATAAATTATTGTACATGTTGTATATATATATATATATATATATATATATACATATATACATATATATATATATATATATATATATATATATATATAAATATATATATATTTACATATATATGTATTTATATTTATAACGTCTACGGCAGAGTTCCAGAATCGCAATCGAATTGCAGCCTAAAGGGTTAAAGGGTTTACCATCGATATTACTCACTTACTTATTAATTACAGGTATGCGGAGTTTTATAATATAGAAAGATATCGAATTAATTCCTTGAGATGAGACAAGTGGATGGATTATTTAAGATAGAAAAGACAACAAGCAAAATTTTAGAGTTACAAATCTGTGTAATAATGAGCCATTTAAGACAAAGGTGATAGTGAGAGATATGATGATATGTATTTACGAAGACTGAAAATATATCTGATGCAATTGCTAAGAAAGCGGTGTAGCTTGCTAAAATGATTTTGGTTTAAATCTGGATAAAACACGATTGTATAATTAAAAATCGATAGCTTAAGTTACTGTACAAGCATAAGTTTGGTCTTAAAGGGAAGAATTTTTTTAAGCAATGAAGAGAACATAATCTAATCAAATTCAGAATATTTCTGTTTTCCAGACAGTGAAAGTGATCAAATTATATACCGTAATCACTGCAACACACTGCTAAAAAAGACAAAAAAAAATTATGAAAAAAAGCAAGTGAATATGGCTAAAAGTAATAATAAAAAGCTATGGGGCGTACTTATTAATATTATAGATAACATGAAAAACAAATGGTATAACAGAGAACTTTTGAATATATCCAGTATGCCAGAATTGTGTGTTAATCTTAAAAATAATTATTTTGTAAATGTAAGTAAAAGTTTTCCAGAGAGTTTTATTGCAGAAAATAATAATAGTAAATTTTTTAATAGTAACATTGGTAAAAAATCAAATTATTATTTAAATTCATTTATTTTATTGGACACGGATTAATGTGAAGTAGAACAATTAATTGACAATTTGAAGATAGACTGCTCAGTTTGTTGGGATGGAATCTCGAATAAATTTATTAAAATTTTTAAATATTTGTTAATACCTCCTTTGACTTATACATTTAATCAATGTCTAAATTATCGTGTATTCCCTAGATATCTTAAGAAGTCCATAATTTGACGAATGAAATTAATTGTAGACCTATCTCTATTTCATCCGCTTTGTCAAACCTTTTAGAGCAAATTATAAATAAGAGACTTACAGAATATCTGGAGGAAAGTAATTTTTTATCAAATACGTAGTTTGGTTTTAGTGGTAATTTCAACATTTTTACACGGTAAATCAACAGAGCATGCCGTTCATACTCTTGCAAATTGAAAAGTGTATCTCAGTTTTCTTAGACTTGGCTAAAGCATTCGATACCGTGTCAATAAAAATACAATTAAAACGACAAGAAAATCTCGGTGTCAGAGGCACTCAACTCAAATTAGTCAAAAGTTATCTTTCTGGGAGATATCAATGCGTTGGTGTAAATAATATTGATAACAACGATTTATTAGTAACACATGGCGTACCACAAGGAAGTATACTCGGGCCAATCTTATTTCTTATTTATATTGATAATTTAACAAAATTCACATAATCTCGTATGTAGATGACACTGTTTTGATATTTACTGCAGATACGTGGACACATGTATTCTAATCAGCACAAACAGATATAAATGCAATTACTAAATGGCTTTACAGTAATAAACTCTCACTTAATATTAGGAAAACAAAATAAATAGTTTTGTCATTAAGAAAAACTATTTGTAACCTTGAAAATTCTAACTTAGTGGTTTATTTGTATAATTGTTCAACAAGAGATAATAGCTGTTCCTGCATTTCACTTGAGTCTATTGAATATATTAAATATCTGGGGTTATAATAGATAGTAATTTAAATTTTAAACAACTTATCCACACGGCTAGCAGCAGAATTCATAAATTTATATATATTTTTAAAAACATTAGACACGTTTTGGATCCAGATATATTAAAACGAGTTTCCTTTACTTAATATCAGTCTATTATAACGTACTACATATCACTGTGGGATAGTGCTTTTAAAACGGTGTTACAAAAGATTGAAATCTCCCAACGTGATATTCTCAAAGTAATAACATTTAAACCTTTTCTATACCCTACATCACAACTTTATAATAACTGTCAGGTCCTTACGGTAAGACAATTATTTATATTAACGATCATTCAGAAACAACATTATTGCTATAAAACCCAACGAACTTAAATAAATGCAGGAAATTTTCCGTAGATACAGGAAATTTTAAAGCAACTTTTATAGGAAGACTCTTTGCATTTGAGGACCGCACTTATATAATAAACTAAATAAAACATTAGACATTTACCACCTTAATAAAATAGATTGTAAAAAATTGTACATGCTTACCTACAAAAATTAACTTATAATGAAACTGAAAACCTTCTTAGTATTCAGACTTAAACATAAATTCTTATATAACGACCAACCGCAATGGTACCCGTACAAAACTAAAAATATTCAGACATACGCGCACACACACACTAACATATACACACTCATCTCCTTAAACTGCTCACATACATTACACTCATTACACAAATACTTCACGGTCATTCATTACACATTTTAAGAGAGAGGAACCACATTATTAGTATAAATTATTTTATACCAATAATTTGGTAATATTTTATACTAATAATAGCATACACTTATAAAAGTCATACATACGGTCAATCATACTGAAAATGATCAATTGTACTGTAAAATATTAAATAGACTATTTTCATTATAATGACCCAAATATCATAATTAATGTATGACTAGCACACTTAAAAGTTTTATCAGATGGCTTAATGATTAACTATCATATTATGATAAGGTCATGCTTTTCTATAAAAAGCTGCAAGAAATTTTAAACACGGGCCTCTTGGTTTCTTTTACTATTGACTTAGTTAGCGAAAAACAAGATGGACTGATCTTAAAGTTTAGTATTATATTCATTGGTAGCGGCTATCCATATTTGATAAGAAATACCAAAACTAGCATCATTTTCTGTACAAAAACCAGCAAAGTGTTTCTCAAGGAACTATGAATAAAGCAACTGATAAAAATGTTACACTCATAACTATAATTAACAAAAATTGTTACGGCAAATGTTCTTATAGAAAAAACTATTCCGCTGTGTCAGGTGCAGAAGCTATTATTAGAAGGAGAAGAGGTAAAATTTTGTTTTAGAGAAGTGTAATCAATATTATTTTGTCTACAATTGTGCATAAAATAAAAAATAACTTCAGTCAAAGAGCACAACTGGCATTATACTCAGACAGATCAATTGGTATGGAAAACAATTACCAGGTTTCAAAAAATCAATCAAAATTCAAAAAAATCAAAAATAATAAAATCAAGATATGTTGATCTGTATGTCTATACATACATATAATAATTTATAACCGCTTAGTAACTGACAGTAACTTAGTACCCATATAACATCCTACAGTCATTCCGAAACTAAGAGGGGAGTATCATTGTCTACAGACGTAATAATTTTTTTTAATTTTGTGATAAAATTAAAAAAAAATACAAACTTATCCAAGATATCCAATACGTTACAAAAAATATAACAAATAATAAACTAATGAGTTTGCATCAGTTTTTAAAAATGTTACGAGATATAACTTCTCAAAGAAACAAAAATAAATGTCAAAAAAGTTCAGGATCTAATTGACGATATACAGCTGAACCTTAATTACAATTTTGAAAACCACGCCAGTTGTAAACAACACTCCTGTGAAAAATAGTGTACGCAACAGAGTTAAGAACAGACAAAATCTTTCTTTTCAAATTTCCCCCGAGTTGTAAGTAGAAAGCCAAATAAGCCAGGTGCCAATTTAATTAAATATATTTTATATGAAGTGATCTTGTACGTTTCATCAATTATGTAAATGAGAAAATGTAAATTATGTAAATATTGATGAAAATGAGAACAGCAATTTTACAATTGTGTTTACAAGAAACACTATCAGTTGAACCTTGCAGCCTGTTCATTATTTTTATTATAAATTATTATTCATTAATCATTCCCATAATATTTTGTATTGTTTTTTATTTTGCCCTATCTGAAACGTTTCAAACTCTATAGAAAATGTGGCATATGAAATTACTGACAATCACTTGAGCATTTTACCTAGACACAAATATGTTTTACGTTTTCGTGACCTCCACATGGTATTTTTCTCAGGATTAGTACCCTTCTGTATCTGAAACGAATATGAATATTGCATATGTATACGATACAAAAGTAAAGTAACAAGCTATATAACTCCCTATGCTGGGCACAGGATTCTTCTTATTTCTAAAAGGGTTTTAGGGCAAGAAAATTTCCACCGTGCTGCCTCAATGTGTGTTGGGGATGAAAGAAGAAAAATTTATTTTTCTTATACCTCATACATGGAGGATTCCTCACGATGTTTTCCTTCATCGCCAAGCACGTGCTAAAACAACACTTAAAATTGCAATTAGAAATTTCATTGGTGCTGCCGGGAATCAAACCCTGATGAAATTTACAACGAACGCTTAGACCCAGAGCTACAAATACGATACAAATAAATACGATTCAACAAATATAATAAAAAAGTCTTACGTAGATAAAAGTAAAACACTTGATAGCTCGTGATGCCTAACGAACGAAGCTACAGCACTACACCGTGCAATGTAATTAAAAATGCTTAACCACGACATAACTCTCATTGATGCCCAGGCATAATAGGCAGTATATCACTTATATACTTTTCACCTCTGCAGTCTATTAATCTTTGCATTTTTCTAGAAAGTAGTTGCTGGATGGTGCTAGACTCTGTGGTCGCTGTTTATTCAAAGTCAATCAGGCTTCTTAAAGCCTTAAAATAGATTCTAACCTTTTCTACAGGTATACAAAGATCGTATATTAATTTGAATAAGCTAATGAAAATAGTAAACGCTTGATTGACATCACGGTACGAGAAAACTTCAGAAAAACTTAATTGAGAGAAATATTTTAGAAACATATTTAAATACTTATTTTTGTTCCTTCTATGTACATACCAACATTTTTCAATAAAACGTTGATTACATGGTATGTTTATATATAATGCAGAACAATTAGTTTAGCCTAAGTGTAAAACATTTGAGTTGTAATATGTGAATTGTTTAATAACTATTTTATAGACATGATGACGAACCTAGAACAGGACAATTTAAAATCTGATAAAATCAACATTACATTCAATAAAAATTCAATATTCCTAACCCCAAGCAATGAAATTGAAATAGCTTCTATTATTTTATCGCTTCATAACAGCAATGCATTTGGACATGATGGCATAAACATACGTGTACTAAAGGCATGTGCGAGTGATTTAAGCCGACCTCTTGCCCATGTAATTAATTTGTCAATGGTACAGGGATCATTCCCCGATATCCTTAAGTTATGTATTGTCAAGCCAATATACAAGAAGGGCGATAAATGTGATATGAATAACTATTGACCGATAACTATTATTCCAATACTATCTAAAATCTATGAAAAAGTCATCTTGAAGCGTATTGATAGCTTTATCAACAACAATACCGGTTTCGCAAAGGTCACCCTACTACATTGGCCTGCTACAGTCTGGTACATTATGTCACAGAATATATAAATCAAAAAATAACACTTATTGCTTTATTTTTAGACATGACCAAAGCTTTTGACTTTGTTCCACATAAAAGACTACTGGATAAACTATATAGATATGGTATTAGAGGTAACGCTTATGACTGGTTAGAAAGTTATCTGTATAATATACAGCAATGTATTGAGATAGCAACAATCGTAAAATCAAGACAGTGTACCTTCCGGTCAAAATATCGCGTTAACCCATGGGGAGTTCCACAGGGCAGTATCTTGGGGCCCCTGTTGTTTTTGATATTTATTAACGACTTACCAGACGCAACTCAACATAATTGTTTCATGTTGGCAGACGACACCACAGTGGTAATAAGATGTGATGAAATAGAAAAATCCAATGTCATTATTAATGAGATTCTACATAACCTACTCAATTGGCTACATTCAAACAATCTTAAAATAAACATACAAATAACAAAGGCCATCCACTTTACTACTCACAGAGCAAGGTCAATGGATGCGCTAGTCGATTATTGCGATAATACCACTGAAATCCTTAATGAAGTTAAGTTTCTTGGATTTACTTTAGATGAACACTGTGACTGGAAAGCACATATAGACAATCTGTGTACGAGAATTAATAAATTTGTATACGCGCTACGACTACTCAGTAATATATCATCCACTCAAACTGCTCTATGGGCCTACCATGGCTATGTGTCATCACTATTAAGTTACCGCACTATATTGTGGGGAGGTTCAGTGGATGTAAACCAGGCTTTCATAGCCCAAAAGAAATGTATTAGGGCTATTTGCAGAGTACATTTTCTTGAAAGCTGTAAACCCCTTTTCAAAAATCTTGGAATCCTACCGCTACCGTGTCTGTATATAAAACAAATGTATATTTTTTTACGATAACACTCTCATTATTTTGTCACTAGAGGGGAATACAAAAATAAACTTACCAGACATCGAGAAAGGATCATGCAACCTAGAATAAGACTTCAACTATACAGACGAAGCTGTTATTGTACGGCTATCAAAATTTATAATAAGCTACATCAAATTTTCAAGGCTCTGCCATTACCATTGTTTAAAAGAAAGTTACATTCATGGCTTTTGACTAGGTGCTTATATTCAGTCCAAGAATACTTAGATGACCAAGATTTTTGAATTTTAATTGTGTTTGTAGCTTTTCTGTGTTTATTTTATTTATCAATTGAATAATTTGATTTAAAATATTATACAATTTACAAATGTAATGCAATGTTCTGTCTATGATTCACGTCTACCATAGGTTTTATATTTAGTCTATTAACTTATTTTTAACTTTAAGTAGATTAAAATGTAATTAATTTTAAATTTGCATGATAGTTAAAAGTCAAACATTTGGATATATCACTATATTAAGATCTTTGTACTACCATGTTTAAAGCAAATAAAAATTTCTGATTTCTGTAACATTTTATATTTGTTACTAGCTTTTGCCTGCGATTTCTTCCGCGTAGAGTTCGGTTATATCGCGCCCATGTGTGAAAAAGACTCTGCTGGTACAAGCCATAATTATAACTGGATGTCGCGAGCAAAAGCTAGTAAACTACAAAACTTCTTTATACACCACATTTTTTTTGCTAATCTATTACTGTATGCCAAAATTATCTACTGGGCGAGCTTACGCGTGAGCAAACTACATAGAATTGCCCGTGTGAAAAACAATTTTCTCTGAAGTCTATACCAGAAAATTTTAATGTCTACCCTTGTGATTTGTTTATGGTCATTGCAAAGCAGACTTTGAGGGGAAACTGTATTCATTTCAATTCAAAGAGAAGATCATTCTCGATCAAGCGAATTCTTGGTACAAATACAGTTTCCCCTTGCACACATCCAGTTATAATTATAATTTCATCGCAATGTAGTGATGATGACTTCCATACAAACTTTAAACCCCTTTTTCACACCCTTAAGTGGCGAACTTACAAAAATCCTCCTTAGCGGATGCCTAAGTCATAACAACTGTCTGTGTGCCAAATTTCAGCAAAATCCGTTCAGTAGTTTCGGCTGTGCGTTGATAAATGTATCAATCAGGTTTTCCTTTTATATATATAGAAGACAATATTGTCTATGAAAGTTTCCGATTTTATTTTTATCCTAGTTGGCTCATTTGTTGTTAGTTTTAAGCTATACTTTAATAGAGTATTTTTTAAAAGTAAACAATTTGGGTTATTTTCAAGTAAATTAATATTAAAGTCACCGGCTATTATTACTTTTTAGTCATATATCTTGAACGTACAGTAATTCTATGTAAAAACAAATGTAATGTTTTTGTAAATATTTTAAAAATTGATTTCTGTAACAGCAAATAATAATAGACTGAAACTAGTACACTACATCATTAAAGGTATTTATCTAAGCATAATTGATTTATACAGGGAAGTGTAATAAAATCCATACTATTTTTAAAATAAAGCACCAGAGATTTTACATGTTCCAGATATACATATAAACTCCCCCAGCTCAGAGTGTTATAAATAGGAAATCACGATTGTTAAATACAGAAGAGAACGGTATCAAACGATCATTATTATAGACAAAAGGCAGCATCACGGTATCAATTCCTGCAAGCATCCTCGACCTACCTATAATCTTCGCTTGACATTTTATAGGGTTGCCAGACACTCCGAAGCGCAGGGACCAATCATGAACTGACTTGAGATTGGAATTTAATTTGTCAATAGTATTATGAATGTCACAAATGTCACAAATGTCAGACTGCACCTAAATTCATCAGCATACAGATGGTACGGTCAATCAATATTGGGTGTGATAGAGTTAATAAAAACAGAAGATTAACGGGAAAAGTATACCACCATGCGGTATGTCAGAAACAAGGTACAACCTACTGTGAAGTCATTTGCTCCACGTGGACAAACTGTTGACGTGTGCAAAAATAAGATGAGAACCACTCCAAGACTGACGGTGCAAACATCAGATAGGAAAGGATAGCAAGAAGGAATATCATGGCCAACTGTGTTAAAAGCGTTAGAAAAGTCAGCATGCAATCACAACTATAAATTTCTTTTTTTTTCACGCTTTCTCTAATAGCATCAGTAATTTTCAGTAAAGTGGCTGTGGTGCTGTAACCAAGATGGAATCCGAATTAAAAATACTCAGCAGGTTATAAGCATATATTAAATCAGAAATATCCGCTTTATAAGCAATATATAGGGCTTAAGAAGGGCTGCCATGATGATGATGATAATGATAATTATGTAACGTGTTTGTATTGAGATGACAATGAATTACTAAATAGTTAATAGAATCAGATATCAGTCAGCCATCACTCAGTTTGTCTGTTTATTTTTCAGCTTTACTGTACAGCTTTTATAAAAAAACTCGATATAAATATAACTGATAATATCTACACCCTACTCTCAAAAACTTACAACACTCAGAGGGTACAAGTTTGAAATGGCAGCATTATGCTGCTGAGATTTTTATGGTGTGTGTAGACAACCAGAGACCCTGTTACTGGTAATGAGGCACCTCTTCTCAGACCTCCGGGGTGAGAGCGAATCAGCATTTTGACTCTTAATTGATGATCAATCTAGATATCTTTGGTCCAGAGCATTGAACAAGAACTGTCTGGTAGTTTGTTACTCCTTTAATTTTATAAATGGAAAAAGTTAGACATAAGTCCCAGTCTTACCCGTCTACCTGCCCGCTCAACCAAGAAGGCGCCAATGAAACTTGACATAATGGTCACTATCGTGAAGATCACGCTGCAAATAGTTGGTGATATTGAGGGCACAGCCTCAGCGAAGAGAGGCTCCGCGTACACCTGCAGCACCATCCGGCCTTGGAATAGTGACGCCGTATCGATAACTACTATCATGAAGAGAGCACGTCGGGTCGACCTTGATTTTTCTGTTAAGGAAATAAAGAAGAAATAAATTTACGTGGTAGAGCCGTGCTGCAGCTATATTACGATGAAAGCACAAACAAATCAATATAAACGAACCCAAACAGATGGATAAGTTAAACATACATAAAATGTGGCAAAACAAATAAATAAAAAACACATCAATAAAAAAAAAACCCAAATAGATGGATAAAAGGTTAAAGCCATTCCGTAGCCGACCGTAGACAGCAACAGTAGGCGACGTATCGTCGCGACGTGTCGCGACGACACGTCGCTGCGGTCATGATTCCGAACCCGACTGCAGGCGGCAGCAGCACGTGTTCCAATCTGTTCCGAATGTTCTGTGGGTACTCTATTTATGTAAACATAAAGAGAGTACCCATATATATATATATATATATATATATATATATATATATATATATATATATATATATATATATATATATATATATATATATACCTGTTTATCGCTTTTATTTAATTCCTTTCCTATATTTATTCAAAAAATTCCTTTTGTCACACTGTTTAAATAATTATTGTAAGATGCATCGTACAGTGCGGGATATTGGACCACCTGGTTTATCAGTTTCTCTTCCACGGAATCGGTGAAACTCATTTTTTGAGAAAAATTCAACATGTCGCTCGGCTGTTGGCGGCACTACTGATCTGCGGTCGGGCAAAATGTCGTCTGTCGCTCCGGCAAACGACGTGTCGCTAGCTACGGAAGGTATTTCATAGAACTACATAGAAACCAGTAGTGTCGCGACGACACGTCGTCTGCTGCTGCTGTCTGCGGTCGGCTACGGAATGGTATCTTAAGGGGAAAGGGAAAGAAACCGACGGATGATGCGATTGTTATTATTATGGGTTATAAAAGTAGTTTTATCATCTGATTGGGCTGAATAAATATATAAAAGAAAGTGATAAGTATACATAAAGTTACATTTAAAATAGTAAAGTCAATAGATGAGAATTACATAAATAAATAATAACCCAATCAGATAGAAACCCACGAGAAGGGAGATCAAACGGCTGACGGTTAAGAGAAAGGAAAAAGACTGGCAGACGATCCGGGCGTTATGGTGAAGCATCGTCTTCTGCATTTGAGCCCGGAGCGGTACATCACGGAGTCAAAGTAGCCTCAGATTACCCGACAGGCTAACCGAGATTAGCCCGCTCGCAGAAACGACTACAGGAATGATTTTGTTCGGCAGACTACTTTACATGTCGGTCACCTCGAAAACCAGGTGCAGAATGCAGATATTTACTTTGCTTATCTATTTCAGCTTTCACGAGGCTCTCGTCAAACAGAATGTTAATGTCAACCAAAAATAATTTAGACTGTACCCATATCACGATTATTCGCAAAAATAGTCCTATCTGTGGCCCGGTCCCAGTAGAGTCTGGCGCGGTCATTTTCGAGCACGGCTTCCAGCAAGTGCTTATAACAAGACAGTTTCCAATCCTCGAGACTAGGTTGTGTCTGTGCTCAGAGTTAGTGTTACGGCCTGCAGCTGCCTAGCTTATGGTAGTATCCACCTAGGCCCATAGTAGGAAGACCCTACAGGCAGATACAGGTCGGGCTTTTGGCCAAAGTGGAAATTTCTAATAGAAATAAACGAGGGGAAAGATCACTATGATAAAGGCACTCACCTGCTCCAGGAGCGGAGACGGTTCTCCAAGACCGGCCCGGCTGATGACAGTATCGTGAGTGTATGTGTGATTGTATGTACGTGTATGTTGACGTGGCCTGGTCTGGATGACGCAATGCCGTCCGGGAGAAGGTATGCGCTGGTATCCTCGGAACTTTCCCCCTCTGGAGGCACTCTTCCTGGTTTGTCACGAAATGGGACAGCTACACGTAGTACTTCAGCGGTAAATCACTATTATAGTTGCACAATTAATTTAACAGAGTTAGTAAGTCCTAATGAACGATACGGGTTCTCACAACGATTTACGCGGATACTTTCGTAACAAGTTAGGTGCGGAAAACAGACGTCAGTATAGCTCGCAAAGAATTCTACAATGACTCTCGAGAAGTCCTTCCGATCCCGCCGCGTAATGCGGCCGGGGGAGGGGAAGGTGACCTCGATATCGAGGCTAAGCGCGCACGTTAAAGAATATGTTTCGAAGGTATAATATTCTTGCCTAAACAAACCCCCGCCCCGGACAAAAGGCATTAGGTCCGCGAGTAGATTGGCAAACGGGACAAGGTCGCGACGGCACGTTGCAAGACCGAATCTCCGACCAAAACCTCGGCCACTCTAGGCACCCCATCCGCTCCATACGACAACTTAACAATGCGCCCACGGCGCCAATACAATGGTTTGGTTCTTTAACTAACACGAGATCTCCCACCCGAGGAGGCTTCGTCTTGTCAGACCACTTAACGCGCTGCTGCAAAAGATGTAGGTACTCCAGAGACCATCGGTGCCAAAAGCTCTGAGTCATCTGTTGCAGCAGGGCAAACCTGCTAAGCCGTGAAGCGCTCGTTTCCCTGAAGGGGTACTCGGGCAGAGCGTTAAGAGGCTGGCCAATCAGGAAGTGTCCCGGGGTTAGAACTTCCAAATCATTCGGGTCGGAGGAGAGGGGACAGAGGGGCCGAGAGTTGAGTACCGCCTCAATTTTACAGAATACAGTGGCGAGCTCCTCAAATGTCAAAATAGCTTCAACAATAACGCGACGGAGATGCGTTTTTGCCACTTTAACCACCGCCTCGAAAATACCGCCCCAGTGGGGACACGCCGGAGGGTCGAATTTCCATTGGATGCCCCTTTTTGACATAGCCTAAATAAGTCCGGTGGCTAGACAGAAACTCGACGACCTCCTTTAGATACCTATCCGTGCCCTTATAATTCGTTCCGCAATCCGACCGGATCAAGTCCGGCAACCCGCACCGCGATACGAAACGGCCAAGCGTGGCCAAGAAGGCTTCCGTGCTGAGGGCGCTTACAAGTTCCAAGTGAACGGCTTTAGTGGAAAGGCACACGAAGACGCAAAGATAGGCCTTATGCGAACGAGCCTTACGAAGGTTAGAGGGCTTGACGAGGATGGGGCCAGCAAAGTCGGTTCCGACTCCAGCAAATGGTCGGATGGCCCTGACGCGGTCGGGCGGCAAGTCACCCATGAGGGGCTGCGATATGGTGGCCTTCAGTTTATAACAGGATATGCACTTAAAGATGACGCTCTGGATGATACGTCGGACAGCCAAAATCCAAAACTCCCGCTGTAAAATAGCCGAAAGAGCGTTGCACCCAGCTTGGGCATTCTTAATATGGTGGTGGGCTACTAGCAACCGGACCAGGGCGCCGTCCTTAGGGAGCAGCAACGGGTGTCGAGCCTCGTACGGAAGTTGAGAATTTTTTAAACGTCCGCCATCGTGCAGCATCCCCGCGTTATCCAGAAAGAGGTTCAGGTGGGCCAGGGCGCCCTTGATAACGGAGCCACGCTTCAAGTTTTCAATGACGGGCTCAAATTGCTCCGTTTGGACCATACGGGTCCAGTGCATCAAAGCTTCACGGCGCTCGCTAGGGGACAAAACGCTATCAGAGAGTCGGTGGGATGGGTATCTCGAATTGCGGACAAAGCGGCGCAACCAAGCAGTAACTCCCAAGAGCTGATCGAGGGAGCTGTACCGTTCCAGAAGAGAGAGATCCCGAGTGGGCTTATCCTTGCCCACTACTACTCGGGCTCGTAGGCCCGGCAATTCGGTAGGTTCGGAGTAATTGCCCGGGGGCCAGAATGACTGAGACCCAGATAACCAACCGGGACCCCACCACAGTGGGTGGTCAACCAGCGATGGGGCCTCACAGCCGCGAGAAGCGCAGTCCGCGGGATTCAACTCCCCTGGGACATGTCGCCAGTTGGGAGAAATCTCAGAACTCTGGATTTGAGACACGCGGTTCGCCACAAAGACCTCAAGATTGTGAGGTGCAGCTCGGAGCCAACAAAGTACTATCTCACTATCCGACCATGCGTAGACGCCCGTAATGTCGATTACAGGCTTCAAGGAAGAGTGAACGTGGTTGAGGAGTTGCGTGAGGAGAGCGGTACCGGACAGTTCCAATTTAGGGATAGTTAAGCGGGACCTAATGGGAGCAACCTTGCTTTTAGCGAGTACGAGATGGACGGCAGTATGACCAGAGGAACTCACCGTCCGCAAATATACGACAGCAGCATAGCCCTTCTCAGAGGCGTCGCAAAACCCATGTAGGGTAGCCCGACATTTCCCGGGGGGAAGGAAGCACCTTGGCATGGAAACCCGGTTGATATCCGGAAGGGAGGAGAGCATGGAGAGCCACTCTCGCAAGAGGGCTCCGCCAATCGGCTCGTCCCAACCCAACCCGGACATCCAGAGCTTTTGAAGAAAGCACTTAGCTAAAAAGATGACCGGGGTGATCCACCCATTAGGGTCGAAGGTGCGGGCTACGGTGGACAGCACGAAGCGTTTGGTCCATGCTTTGGGCTGTGGGTCAAGTTTTACTCTATACGTAAAGGTGTCCTGAACAGGCTGATCCAGCACAGTCACAAATTAGGATTCTCAGGGTTCTCGAACAGATGAGGATCTTGTTGATCCTCTCCTGGGAGGTCCTTCAAAATATGAGGGGAGTTCGACAACCACTTACGCAACTCATAGCCTCCGGACTTCAGGATGGCAATTAATTCGTCTCGCAAGACCAGAGCCTCCTCGACGGTGGAAGCGCCCGTACAAATGTCGTCCATGTAGACCGAAGTCTCCAAAATAGAAGCTCCCCGAGCGTATCTCAGGCGCTCTCTCTCAGCGAGTTCAAGGAGGGTTCGATTGGCGATATTCGGGCTGGACCGGAGTCCATATGTGGTGGTGTTCAACTCAAACACCTGTATAGGATCGCTGGGTTTCTCGCGCCACAATATCAGCTGATATCGGCGGTCATCACGATGGACCACTGATTGGCGAAACATCATCCGAATGTCCGCGACAAAAACCACTTGGTGTCGACGGAATTAGGTCAAGATGTCGGATATGTCCTTGATCAGTTTAGGACCCGAGGGAAGACACTGGTTCAGAGACACACCGTTTGATGTGGGGGCGGAACCGTCAAAAACTACCCGAATCTTACTCTCAGGGGTCCTCAAGACCGCATGGTGAGGGAGGAAGTAGTGCTCCTGTGAACGCCATTCGAAGTTGGACGGTGACATGTGACCCAGCTCCTGATACTCGCGCATGAACTCGACATATTTGTCGCGAAAGGCTGGGTCGCGCCGCATGCGGCGCTCCATGGAAAGCAACCTCTTCTCGGCCAGAGCACGAGATTGACCCAAAGAGAGACGTGAGTCCAGAAAGGGTAAGCGAGTGACGAAACGACCGTCAACCCGCCGGCCGGTATTGTTCTGGTAGAACAACTCACACTCACGGTCCAGAGGGTCGACTCGAGCTGCATGTGGTGGTTCCTCAATTTCCCAGAACCGCTGGACGGCGTCCGATAGGGACACGCCCACGACGGAGAGCGGGTCGGCCGTCGGAGGGGGAGGAGACCACATAACCGGTCCAAAGAAGCTGTGCCCAAATATCGTGGAAATAGCTGACAGGCCATCGGGCTGCAGAGCTCGTATCTCACCTAACAAGAGGACACCCAGCGTGTCGGCCCCCAGTAACAAATCTATAGGCCCAGGTTGGGCCCACCGAGGGTCTGCCGGTCTCAAAGCCGACGCACAGTGCACAGCGCTGTCATTTATACGAACGTTAGGGAGAAACCCTACAATGTCGTCGAGGACATTTACCTTGACTAAAATACGAACACCAACTCCGCTTGTCCCCTAGGAGCAGGAGGCTCGGCACCTCCGATACCTACCATCGGACGTGATTCAGAGCTCCAGGGGAGCCCCAGTCTTCCCACCAACCGAGTAGAGGCCACACTACGTTGGGAACCCGAATCCAATAGAGCTCGAACCTTTAAGCGGTCGCCGCTCGGGTTGTTAATCTTCACTGAGGCCGTCGGCAATAGAACAGTTTGACAGGTGGACTGCTGACGACTTATAGGCTCAGTGGAGGCGGCCATGGCGGGAGCTAGGGCGGCAGCCTCCTATCTGGAGCTGCCTCTGTTGGACCGGCACCCGAAACGGGGGCCCCGAGGGCGGCACTCCGACGGCGTCTCGATGACCCTTGACTGGAATTCCCCGAACGGGCCGACCTGGGGAAACGCGGGCATCCTCGGCTCCAAGGCCCGGGGCCGATACGCAGTTTCCGGAACCCGGTAGTACCGGCACCGACTAAAGGGGGCGGGCGGCGTTCCAGTCACGGCCACTCAGCCAACGGGGGTGAGAACGGTCTAGCTGACCGCTGAGTGGCTGCGAATCCACTATCAACCCGCTGAGGGGGGGTGAAGACCCCCCCGCCCCTGGGGGAACGACTCCCAGACCGATCGGGGGAGGGACTCCCCTCAGAACGAGGGGCGCTGTGGTCCACCGGTGAGCGCCGAGCGTCGCCCGACAGTGGGCGTGGCTGGGCGCCCCCGCCTGTGGGAGTCGGGGGGCTGGCAGGGCCCTGAGAGGACGAGCCGCGCGCACCCAGGCACAATATGACGTGATGGTTGCCCTGGCAGTGCGTGCAGGGCCGCTGGTGCGGGCAGTCTCGTTGTAAATGCCTCTCCAGGCACGAGAAGCACCAGCGGCGCTCCATGGCGATGGTTCGCCTCGCCGTAGCCGGCTTGCGCAACAACTTCGGGCACGACGCCGCCCGGTGGTCGGATGCTCGACAATAGGAGCAGGGAGGCGCCTCCCGGGCCGATAGGCCACTATAGGAGGGTACTGGGTGGCGCCCTCCCGCGGGGGCTCCGCTCGGCTTCAGGGGGGTGGGCGCCGCCTTGGCCGGCTGATTCCGCCTCTCCCTGGGCACCGCTCGGGAGGCGGCCGGGGGGCCCTCGACGGCGCCTGCTGCGTTCTCCAGCTGCCTACACTGCTCCTCCAGGAACCGCAGCAGGTCCCTAAAGGGGGGCATGTACGAGGCGCCATCCCCTCCGTACCTCTCCTCAAAATGGAGCCGAAGGTCGAGGGGCAGGCGGGACAGCACTATATGAAGGAGCAGAAAAGACCACTCGTCCACAGGTAAATCCAGCCGCCGCAACGAGTTGCACGCTACGACGACTGGATTCACTATGTCTTCATGTAGTCTACTCCGGTCCTTCAGCAGCGGGAGGTTCAGCAGCCTCCGAACATGATCGTCCGCAATCCGTCGGACGTTGGCGTACCTTCCAGCGAGGAGGTCCCTGGCGTTTTGGTAGGCGTCGTCCGACAACTTAAGGTGGCTGACGACGCCCAGGGCCTCCCCCTCCAGTGATGCCAGCAGGTACCCCATTTTTTAGCAGGGGGTCAAGTCCCTCCGGGCGTCCACCAGGCTGTCAAACATGCCGACGAAGGTCAGCCATTCCGAGAGGACCCTGGAGAACCTTGGCAGGTCCAGTGTGGGGAGTCATCCTAGCAGCTCTGGCTGAGTAGGCGGCTTCCGCGGGGACTCGAGAAGGCTACTCAGCTGAGCTTCGCGCTCCCTCTCCGCGTCCTTGGCCCCTGCCTCGACCAGGTCGTCCGTTAGCGCGAGGAACTGCTCGTAGTCCGCGCGGCAGGAGTCCAGGACTCCCTTTTCCACCTCCGAGTCCTCGAGCTCAGAGTAAGCCTCCTCCACGGCAGCCCTTCGAGCATCGACCTGCTCGAGCCTCTTCCTCAGATTATAGACCCTGTCCGGTCGGCCTATTAACGCGTGTGCGCTGGTAGCCCAGCGCAGCACAGTCTGCAAGCAACGAATTAGTAGCTTATGTGACGGCATCCTTACTAAATACAATAACAAAATAACAGAAATAACGAATACAGTACTACTAATACGATAATATCAATCAGGTTAGTTAGAAATAACACAATTATTAAATACAAGTTAATACGAAAAAACACAAATCAAATTAGCACGTAACAACCCTAGTACGATTAACAATTATCCCATTACGTGACAGCCTTATGTATCTAATCAAATACTTCGCCTCAACAATTCTCGCTTGTTACCTACGGGCGTGGCATTAGTAAACTACCTCCTAACAACAGAGAAAAGGCGAGCCACTATGCAACAAGAAAGAATCATTATTTATATTAATTTTACGTATTACGGCCGGGCGTGATTGTAGACACAATCAGCCACGCTTCTGCTACCAAATGTTACGGCCTGCAGCTGCCTAGCTAATGGTAGTATCCACCTAGGCCCATAGTAGGAAGACCCTACAGGCAGATACAGGTCGGGCTTTTGGCCAAAGTGGAAATTTCTAATAGAAATAAACGAGGGGAAAGATCACTATGATAAAGGCACTCACCTGCTCCAGGAGCGGAGACGGTTCTCCAAGACAGGCCCGGCTGATGACAGTGTCGTGAGTGTATGTGTGATTGTATGTATGTGTATGTTGACGTGGCCTGGTCTGGATGACGCAATGCCGTCCGGGAGAAGGTATGCGCTGGTATCCTCGGAACTTTCCCCCTCTGGAGGCACTCTTCCTGGTTTGTCACGAAATGGGACAGCTATACGTAGTACTTCAGAGGTAAATCACTATTATAGTTGCACAATTAATTTAACAGAGATAGTAAGTCCTAATGAACGATACGGGTTCTCACAACGATTTACGCGGGTTGATACTTTCGTAACAAGTTAGGCGCGGAAAACAGACGTCAGTATAGCTCGCAAAGAATTCTACAATGACTGTCGAGAAGTCCGTCCGATCCCGCCGCGTAATGCGGCCGGGGGAGGGGAAGGTGACCTCGATATCGAGGCTAAGCGCGCACGTTAAAGAATACATTTCGAAGGTATAATATTCTTGCCTAAACAGTTAGAAAGCGCCGAAAACCAAATATGACCTGCCTACGTGACTCACTGGGGTGGCGACAATCATCTTCGAGACCGTAGTTAAGAGCAAGCTGCTACTGAGAGTTTCTTAACAGAAAATCCAATAACTGATTTTGACCCGACTCGAGAGTCGAACACCGGACCCCCAGATCAGCAGTCATGCTTACCATACTAAGAAACCATCAAGGTACTCTCGTAAATATTAGATTACCAGGGTATTTTGTTATCCCGTTTAAAATTATATTAGTACTGTAACATTTTGTCTCACAGAATACCAGCGTAGAATAGCAGCTAAACACTGCTGTTTCGTTATGGTGAGTGCAGAGAACCGAAGACACCTTTTACCGGAAAAGAGGCATCCCATCTTAGTCCTCACGGGTGATAACGCAGATAAATGCAGATCATTTTGATTCTTTATTGAGGATATATGTAGATGTCTATGGATCACAGCAACCACTTACCATCAGGTGGACTGTGTGCTCGTTTATCACCCTAATTCTATTAAAAAAACATATCCAAGCACGAAGTAGTTAGTAATACGAGGAAGAGACTGGAGTGTACTTACTTAAAAATTGCCACCAGGAAAGTTTAGGGTTTTCCTGTAGGTCAGAATTTAGTTTCTCTTCTTCAGGCGTAGCATCTGTGAATTTAAATTTATAATCCATTAATTTTTATCGACCAAAAAAAAGAGTAGGTTCACCTCCTTGTTTTAGTTTAATTTAAATAATTAAAAAATTTGTACAACCTGTACGGTACGGTCTTCAATATGAATTATCGGAATTGAAGCCCTATAGAAATATAGAATATATATATATATATATAATAACTCAAAAACTATTGGTCAGACCTTGATCAATTTATATGGGACCACATGAGAAGCACCAGCTTTCATATAAAAAAATCATCGAAATCGGTTCACCCAGAAATAATTTATGAGGTTACATAAATAAATAAAAAACATATTACATTCGAATTGAGTACCTCCTCCTTTTTGAAGTCAGTAAAAAAATGCGCGAGAAAGTTTTTAAGTCAAAAATATAGATATTTAGATGGTACTGACTTATATATTGTACGCAATATTTCTTTGCAATAAAAACGTTTTTTCTTACAATTACTGTTAGTAAATGAGAACGCAACCATTTATATTTTTTTGTTGCATTCACTGCTAATTTAAATACATTATGTTGGCAACATCTTTTTTCTCTATTCTTATTCGCATAGATAACTCTTACTTCATGTATTGTACTGTACTGTGTAATTTCTCCATCGTTAATCAAAATACATTCTTGCATATTTCCGAGTTTTACAGTTATTTTAATGGTTTCATCCCGAAATATCAACATGGTAGCAGAACGTGATTGATGAAAATCATTGACAGTAAAAAAAAAAAAAAAGAACGCAGAACAAAATCCGGCAGCGGTGTATTTGTGCTGTCACGTCATCGTCATACTTTTTGAGGTTACCGCATAACCTAACCTGGAGCGGCGTGCTCGCTCAGTCATCACATTGTTGAAAAATTGTTATTACATGTAGAAGATGTTCAGTACAAGCCACAATCCTTTTCACATTGACAGACTCGTCGGAAGAAACAATTATGCGAGTTGGAAATTCGCAGTGGAAGCGTATTTCAAGCTTGAAGATTTGTGGAGTTGTGTCGAAGGAACTAATACTGATCCCAGGAAAGAAATAAAGGCAAAATCTAAGCTTATTTTACTGCTTGATCCGATTAATTACGTGCATGTACAGAGCGCAACTACATGCAAAGATGTCTGGGATAACTTACAGCAAGCTTTTGATGACAGCGGGTTATACAGAAAAGTTGCCCTGTTGAGAGACCTCATCACAACTACATTGGACAGTTCTCAAAATGTAGATGATTATGTGAATAAGATAATGTCATCAGCTCATAAGCTTAGGAATATCAAATTTGACATTGATGATGAATGGCTTGGAACACTGATGTTGGCTGGTTTACCCGAGGTATATAAACCAATGATAATGGGATTGGAGAGCTCAGGGATCAAGATCTGTGCAGACTCTATCAAAACTAAACTGCTGCAGGAAGTTCAATGCTCAGAAAGCACAGCATTCTTCAGTAGGAAGACAGCCGTTTACAAAAATCATAGTACAGGAAAGGCCTGTATTCAGAAAGGGCCTCGATGTTATAATTGTAACAAGCACGGACACTTTGCAAAGAACTGTCGTGCTCCGAAGAAGAAGAATATTGAAAAAGTAGAAGAAAATAAAAGTTTTGTTGCAGCATTTTCAGCATGTTCACAAACAATGAATCCGGACCTTTGGTATGTGGACTCAGGTGCCTCCATGCACATGACAAATAGATCTGACTGGATGTATGATGTAACAAGTCCACCGATACCCACCATAACTGTTGCCAGTAGGACACCACTACCTGTGGAAAATATGGGAAAGGTTAATTTATTGATAAATGGTAATGAACAAAGTAAAATTCAGGTAAGAGAAGTTCTATACATACCTAAACTTGCTGCCAATCTCTTATCAGTAAGTGCTATGGTAAAAAGTGGCTGTAAGGTAAATTTTAGAGATAAATGTTGTGATATTTATGACCAAAGTAATAAATTCCTCTGTTCAGCCACATTAGTAAACAACTTGTATCAGTTAAACACTCACAGAGAAGTCTTCTCTAACCTAACATACTCAAATAACTTAAATGATATTGTCCTGTGGCATAGACGCATGGGACACCTGAACTTTTCAGATGTTAACAAGTTACCGGAGTGTGCAGAGGGAGTCGATCCATTCCCTGACTAAAGTAAAGGTCCATTCACGTGTACTACCTGCCTAGAAGGTAAACAAAGCAGATTGCCTTTCAACAACATTGGCTCTAGAGCTTCAAGACCACTGCAGCTTATCCATACTGATTTGTGTGGACCGATGGAGCAAACATCACTGGGAGGTATGAAGTATTTCATTACCTTTATAGATGATTTTACTCGAAAAGTTCATGTTTATTTTTTAAAAGACAAATTAAGTGTACTAGGAGTGTTCAAAGATTATAAAAGTAAAGTAGAAAATGAACTTGAAACTAAAATAAAAATTGTTCGGTCAGATAACGGCAAGGAGTACTGTAACAAAGAATTTGATAGTTTTTTGAGTAGGCATGGAATTGAACATCAAACAAGTATCCCGTACTCACCCCAACAGAATGGCCTAGCAGAAAGGATGAATAGGACGTTAGTAGAGAGAGCCAAGTGTATGCTATATGATGCTCATTTGTCAAAGCAATTTTGGGCAGAGGCGTTAGCAACAGTGACCTATATAGTTAATAGATCACCCACTAGATCCCTCAATGGCAAAACTCCTATAGAGATGTGGTCAGGCAAGAAACCCAACTTATCAAATATAAAAATTTTTGGCTCTGAAGTGATGGCTCAAGTACCTAAAGAAAAACGCCAAAAATGGGATTCTAAATCTAAAAAATTTTTATTTGTAGTTTATTGTGATTCTAGTAAGGGATATCGGCTGCTTGATCCCGACACTAATAAAATTATCAAAAGTAGAGATGTAGTATTTTTAGAAAATGTTCAAAGACTTGAGCAAAATGTGTACTTACCTTGCTTAACCAACAGTGATCCTGAAATACAGTTAACTGAAGAGCCCTGCAAAGAAGAATCACCAATCAGCTTAGAACAGTCTGCGAGTGATGAGTACCTGTCAGACGAAAACTTTGATTCATCTTACTTACCAGAAGAATCATTTGACTTTTCGATACCAGCATGTAATATAAACTTACGTCCACGCAGAGCTGCCCAGTATGCAGAAAAGGATGTCCACGATGTAAGTTACTTTTGTCCAATTCTTAATTTATGCGATCCTCTTACTGTTGATGAAGCTTTTTCATCTCCACATTCTGATCAGTGGAAGAAGGCCATGAAGGAAGAATATGATTCCTTGGTTAAGAATAAAACATGGTCACTGGTAGATTTGCCATCAGGTAAGAGAGCCTTACCATGCAAATGGGTGTTTAAAAGTAAGACAAATGAGAAAGGTGAGATTGTTCGTTTTAAAGCAAGATTAGTTATTAAGGGGTGTGCTCAACGAAAAGGAAATGACTACAATGAAGTCTATGCTCCAGTGGTAAGATACACCTCAGTTCGATTCTTGCTTGCTCTAGCTGCTAAATACGACCTAGAAATGATTCAGATGGATGCTATAAGCGCATTTCTTCAGGGTGACATAGACACTGAAATATATATGTCACAACCAGAATGCTATAAAGAGAATGATCAGGTATGTCACCTACATAAATCAATCTACGGGCTCAAGCAGGCTAGTCGTCAGTGGAATGTTAAATTAAACAATGCTCTGCTAAAAATCGGATTGAAAAGATCAAAAATAGATCCATGCATTTATTATTCCGTAAATAAATCAAAAATGATTTTTATTGCAGTATGGGTAGATGACTTCATGATATTTACAAATGACAAGAAAACGGCAACAGGTATCAAAGTAAAACTTAAAGAAGAATTCAATATGAAAGATCTGGGTGAGATAAAGCAGTGTATTGGGATAAATATAAATAGAGATCGTAAGGCAGGTGGGATCATGTTGGACCAAGAGAAGTACATAAACCAAGTGTTAGAACGCTTTGGTATGTCTGCTTGCAAACCAGTTCACACTCCGATAGAGGTAAATATGAAATTTGATAAGAAACCTGAAAATGAAGATGGCAATTTCCCATACAGAGAAGCGGTGGGGTGTCTAATATATTTGGCACAAGTTACACGACCTGACATCACATATGCGGTGAACAAGTTGAGTCAGTACTGTAATGACCCAGGTATTCAACACTGGCTTGGAGTAAAAAGGGTTATGAGGTACCTTCAAGGAACCAAGAAACTAAAGTTATGTTATCTCAAAGATGACTCCAAGGAAATAACTGGGTATTGTGACGCAGATTGGGCTACTGATCCACAGGATAGAAGATCATGCACCGGTTACACTTTTATTTTTCAAAATGCTTCCATATCTTGGAATTCTTGTAAACAACAGACTGTGGCACTCTCAACAGCAGAGGCTGAATATATGGCAATGGCTTCGGCGACCCAGGAGGCGTTGTGGCTTCGGCAACTACAAGCTGAGCTCGGGCAAGGCCTGGACAGTGCATTACTTATCTATAGTGATAATCAAAGTGCGATAAGGTTGGCATCAACTGACTGTTATAAAGCTAAGACTAAACATATAGATATAAGGTTGCATTTTCTCAGGGAAAACATTGTTAATTGTAAAGTTAATTTTTTATTTGTAAATGGTTGTAACATGGTAGCTGACAATTTGACAAAGGGTGTAACACTTGCCAAGCATTTATACTGTATTAGTAAGATGGGATTGCGTTCTAGAGGGAGTGGAACGCAACCATTTATATTTTTTTGTTGCATTCACTGCTAATTTAAATACATTATGTTGGCAACATCTTTTTTCTCTATTCTTATTCGCATAGATAACTCTTACTTCATGTATTGTACTGTACTGTGTAATTTCTCCATTGTTAATCAAAATACATTCTTGCATATTTCCGAGTTTTACAGTTATTTTAATGGTTTCATCCCGAAATATCAACAATTACATTTCCAAAATTATTAAAATATTACGGCGGCAAAAATTTTACTGCTATTTGTATAACTATTTACAGCTTCACAATCCTCTTAAATACTATAATATAGAGTCATCTAAAAATATTATAGAAGTAATATGAACAATTAAAATGCAATAAGAAGCAATTAATATGTGGGTAAAAATATTTCCAAGTTATAGAACGTGTGTATATTTTATGCAATACATGAATCTTATTTTGTTAATATAAACAGGAATGCTCAAAAACTAGTGATCCAAATTTAAAAATAATAATTTTCTATATAATTAAGGTATGGAACTTCCACACAAAGCCTAAACCATAATCAAGCATGAACGTCGTAAAGTTATGTTAAAAGAAAACTAAAGCTATGCACACTTTCGTTTATATCCGAGTTGACTGAGGGAGAATGCCAACATTATGTCCGCACTTTGAAATTCTTTTATTAACCGGTTCAGTGCGGATGGCACGCTTGGCGTGCCATCGATTACTTTTGTCTGTGGCGTATGACACGCGAGTCGTGTCTTTTTAAAAATCGTTATAACTCGCTCAAATTACGTTTTTGGAAAATATATCCAGAACAAAATATTCATTATTTTAAATAAAAAAACAATGCGTTTGTTTTATTGTTTAATTTTGCTTAAAATGGTTGAGCTGTCGTCTTATTACTATCATATGGCCGAATAGACCTACAAAGTACCATGTGCTCTTTTGATATGGTATAAGGTTTATTTTTATTTGAACTGTTCGAAACCGTTTATACATAAAAGTTCGCTAATAAATAGTCTTTCGTCAATCCGCCGCCGTATAGCACCGGCGTTTTTTTTCTTTTTGGAAATACTTGTTTTGCTATTCTTACTAGTTAGACGTTTTCAGATCGACTTTACTTTTACATTTGTATAACATTAAATAATAGGTATTTAACATTTGTAAATCAATGAATCATAAACCTTATTTTTTTCCAAATTAAGGTTCTTGATTGTTTGATATTTGCAAATGTTATTATTAGGTAAAAGATAATTTAATAAAAACCAAGGTATTTCAGAGTGATTTAGCTGTACCTACTTATATAAATGTTTTTTTTTATAAAACACAAAATAGTACAAAAGGTTCGTAATCTCTGCATAAAAAAAGTCACTTACTCTCAATTTCAGAGATAACACGTGAAAAAACACGTAGTTACCCACTAAAAACAAGTATTCTTCCATTTGCAACTGATGTTTGATGTAAACTAAATTTAATTAGGTCTAAACAAGTGAAAAATCTTAAAAAAGAATATTACTTTTACACATGGCTGATGGCACAATAGGCGTGTCATCAACTTCTGTAGCCGGGCGTGTCATGAAATATTTGTACGCCGCCACAGCTAAAAGTTGTCGGAAATCGGTGCCGCAACGAATCGGTTAAGGTGTAAAATAAAGTTTAAAAAAATAAATAAACTATACACCCTTTCGTTTATATATTTTACTGACCCAACTTCTCGTCTCTCTTCGGGGGAAGTACGTTGTTTTGATTGGCGCTAACCGCACACGGCGTGGGCCTGTGAGAGCCTGTGTGGGGCCTGGGAGAGCGTAGCTCTTGTATAAGGTAGTTTTATATAAATATATTGAGACTTTTTCAAGCGGGAAAGGAATAATTAATAAAGAATTAACTTATGTGAGCCTGATAAAAGTGAAATAAGGACGATTAAATGTTCTTTAACCTTTTTGAGCCCTTTCCTCGTGAACGGGGTTCTGTAACTTAATAAAACCCTATCTTTCATTTTTTAAGGCTTTAGTGGATATTAATTCTTCCGAGGGACACCTAAAATAACTAATTTACTTAACAAACACAACGTAAATAAGAATCTTAAGTAAGACAATCACGCCATATAACAAATAGCCTAAAACTAAACCTCTATATTTATTCACCTGGTCACGTAAATATATATTATTTAATTTTTTTTTATATATTAACAGAAGGCCGATTTTATTTATAGAAGGGTTTCGTTACAATTTGCTATTCTCCATAACCTTGGTTTCATATTAAGACCTAAAAAATCGATTAGCGATGTGGAAGGCTTACGTCCAAATGTGGAATCTGTGTACTTATTGATATTTTCAAGAACAACGACTATTTTTCTATGATACCCACCACCCAAATCCGGATTAAGCGCCCTTCGAAGCGTTTTCAATTCTTCTTCAACCAGATTAGAATTGATGGACGTGCCTCTGTAGAATGCGATTGCTCGTTTAGCCTCCTGTAAATAGAAGAGATAATGTACATATGTTGCTTTTGAATTATCCTACCAAGTGTGGTGAATGTGGAAAATCTTACTTTATGGAATTTTTTTTATAAAATAAGGGTGACAAACGAGCACGCAGTCCACCTGATGGTAAGTGATTGCTGTGGCCCATAGACATCTACATCTATCATCGTTTGCGAATTAAAATGCAGATGCGTTGTCAGCCGTGAGGACTAAGATAGAATGCCCCTGTTCCAGTAAAAAGGGTCTCCGGTTCTCTACACTCACCATACGAAACACAGCAGCATTAAGCTGCTATTTTACGCTGGTATTCTGTGAGAGCGTGGTCCTTCCTCGGTCGAGCCGACTATACTATTAATATAACTGCAGCATGTCTCTACCACGTAAACAAATATGTGTTTGTTTACATCCTCATACAGAGGAGTATATTTTTCATACAAGTTGAGGTAAGAACCGATCTCAGAGTCTACTATACGGTAATGAATTCCGTTGTCCATAGGCACCTATGTTTATCTATCCTTGATGTCTAAGATGCAATGTTTCGTTAAAATCAAAAGGAGTCCATTATTCTAATTATTGGTATGGTTAGCAAGCACACCAACATTATGCTGCTCTTTTATGCTGGTAGTCTATGAGAGCGACCTACTCTGGTCAAGCAGATCTATCCATGCTGCAATCATAGCATAGCTTAAACTTGGTTTTAACCACTACGACATGTAGCAATGGCTTTGAATAAGAATTCAAAAACTCTGTCTGATGTGATACTAAAATAGAAAGTACGCTAGGAAGCTGTGTCATTAGCATAGGGGTAACGACAACTTAGTATACCCCAAAACAATAATTTGTTTGTTTTTGCACAAAATTTGATTTCGGTCATCATCAAACTGCCATCAAATACGTTTTCCACAGTGCTGGACAGAGCCTTTCCTGTTAAGAAAGATTGTTTTTTTTATATTCTACTAAGCCAGCGCTTATCTACGATCCCACCTGATGCTAAGTGGTGATGTAGCCTAAGATATTTATTCTTACCTTGAAGACACCCACACTGTAATAGGATGGAAAAACAGATGCTGGCAACTTATTCCAATCCTTTGCTATACGCATGATAAACGACGTAACGAACCATTTGGTTCGAATGCGTAATAAGTCAAAAATGAAAGGGTGGAGACTGGCTGAACGTCTGGTTGTCCAATGGTGGAAAGGTGAGGGAAAAATTAAATAATGCAATTCCTGCACACATTCTCCGAAATGCATCCTGTAGAAAACCGAAAAGCTGTGTTCGAGGCTGGTAAGATTAGTTTTAACCAAATTCGGGTCACCAATAATCCTCTTAGCACGCCTTTCCATTGAGTCCAAAGCTGCTAGGTGGCATTTTGTAGTACCAGCCCATATATGGCAGCAATACTCCATGTACGATCGGACTTGCGCTTTATACAAAGTAAGCAGCTGTCCCAGCGTGAAGTATCGCCGCAGCTTTGAAAGAGCTCGCAGATTCCTTGCAGCTGCTTTGGTCTTGGACTCAATGAACCGCCCGAAGTTCAGATTTGAGGATATCTCAAACCCTAACAACTGAAGGCGGTCGGTATATTGCAGTGATACATTTCGGAAAGAAGGAGCCAATGTGAGCTGGCTCCTTTTTGCAGTGAAGAGAAACGGTTGTGTTTTGGAGGCGTTGAATTTCACAAGAAGGGCATCGCCCCATTCGGAGACTGCCTGCAGTGTGAGATTCACACGCTCTACCATAGCTTCTCTTTCAGGCTGGATTTGATCCCGACTGACCCGAGGAGTTGGTTTTTTTTCTTTTTATAGAATCGGGTGACAAACGAGTACACAGTCCACCTGATGGTAAGTGGTTGCTGCGGCCCATAGACATCTACATCTATCCTCGTTGCGAATCAAAATGCAGATGCGTTGTCACCCGAGAGGGCTAAGATGGAATGCCCATGTTCCAGTAAAAAGGGTCTCCGGTTCTCTACACTCACCATACGAAACACAGCAGCATTGAGCTGCTATTTTAGGCTGGTATTCTGTGAGAGCCTGGTCCTTCCCCGATCGAGCCGACCCATTCGTGCTACAACTATACTACTAAAATAGTTGCATCATGGCTCTACCACGTAAACGTTGGTTGGTATCTCTCCTCAACTGTGCTATCGTCGATTTGTCTTAAACACCACGCTTGGCAGTGTTAACATTCGCAGTAGCAGATGTCTAGCTACTTACGATCAGATGGACTGTAAGTTCGTTTATCATTAACTTTCAAAAAAGCTTCCAAGCTTTTAGCCATGTCTACCTATAATATGAGATGACTATGACTAGCATTAAAGTCGGTACTAGCTGATAGATAAGAAGAAGAAGAAGAACACGAAATGGTCGAGATTTTTTTCCATTCAACTTACTTTCTCGTGGCCTTTCCTCATCAGATGTATCGGTGACTCTTTCAAAAAAGACATAAGAACCACTCCAAGCACTGTCATAGTTAAACAGGCGTAGTTCAGGGCGTCGTAGCTCAAATAGCCTCCCATGAGGTAAGAAACGAGCATCCCAATTGATTGGAAGATCATCGCGCTTGAAGTCATCGCCCCACGTATGGAGGCTTGGCAAATCTCGCTGATGTAGATCGGTACAACCAGCATTATACATCTGCAGATCCCAAACAGGAAACTTGCCGCGAGAATGGCTTCCACATTGTAGCAAACAGTTATAATGACCCAACTGATCTGTGGATAAAAAAAGACCTGAGTAAAAAATATTCAAACAAGAGTATTGTACAAGCTTAAAACATTTTTTATATTGTATCTAGGTAGGAGAATTTATATACGAAACGATATGACGTACTCTTCTAATTATATTTTAATATTGTAAAATGCTCCCAACTTTTTTTTTCGTGTAAGGTAAAATAAAAACGAGCACACAGTCCATATGATGGTACACTTATCCATATATACCGATACCATGGTTCATAAACATTTAAATAAATGTATCCTCCATTAAAAATTCTAACACAGACATGTTGTCAGCCCTGAAGACTAAGATAGAATGCCTCGTTATCAGTAAATAGGGTCTCCGGTTCTCATCACTCAACATACGAAACGAAACAGTAGATTTATGCTGCTTTTTCACGCTGGTATTCTGTGTAAGCGTGGTCCTTCTCCGGTCGAGCCACCTCATTGGTGCTACAGCCATAATCGCTGCAACGTAGCTCAACCACGTTTCGATAAAAAGTATACTGATTTTATAATCCATGTGTTGGTAGTATGTTGTTTTATTCTTCGTTTTAAATTTATTTAATATTAAAGAAATACTATTCATACTTTGAATAAGCGAAATGGTGGTTGCGAAATATTAGAAGAAACATGGGTTTCAATGGACGTTGCAAATATGTAAATAATTTTTTTGTTTTTTTTTTATAATTGGATCTCATACTATACAAATGTTATCAGTGTTTTTTTTAAATAATAGTTTTTAAATAATTGTTTGTAAATAATTCCTATTATGAATCATTGAAATAATAATTGTGTAATTAATATTTTTAATTACAAATATAAAATAGATTATATGTCATTGTATTGTCATAATAATTATCATAGATAATTTTCTCAGTTTATTTTTAATTTAGAATTTGAGAGATTTGCAAAGAATATTATATAAGTAATTTCATTTTCTAAACATTTCTAAAAAATTGACTTATCTGTAATGAAGTTGACGTATGCAAGCAAGCGACAACGACCGAGTTCAGAAAAAATCTGGCGCAAGAATCGTATGTGTATCGAGTAAATACGATCAGATAGTCTGATGAGACTATCGGACACAAAATCTGACATGTAACCCTAGCCTCTGCCCTCAGACAAAATGAATGCAATTGTTTTTCTGTAATCTTAGGCAGGATTGCTTAAAAAATATCTCCAAAGTGTTCAGTATAAATTAAACTTACTATTTGAATCACTGTAAAGAGCATACAACAATATTTTCTTCCAAGAGTTTCTACAAAGTAACTGACAAACGGTATGCTTATCAAGGCGCTGAATGAAGAAAGGCTGCCTAAAAGAGCACCCTCGGTCTCCGTCATTGGTCTGTTGAGGGTCGTGTTTACAGACGAGAAGAGCTGCAGAGTGGAAGATGGCCAGGCGAACATGACGCCAATTGACATGCAGATGTAGCTAGCTGTAAAATATTAGAAATACTTTAGCAAGGTTATCGTGGAGTTCTATTTATTAGCACCAGCAGCGGTAGCGGCCCCACGACACGCGTCACCGTTACAGCCTATTAAATTCCACTACTGAACATAGGCCTCCCCATATATTGCCTCATATTAGAGATATTTTTCATGATTGCCACGCTTAGCGAGTGGGTTGGAAACCACAGTTTTCTTTATTTTTAGTCGATATTAGGAAGACACTGCTGCCCATCTCCTGATTTGTCTTGCTCTGTCGCCTCCCACGACACCCACGGGATGATGCGTAGTAGTAGATATACTTACAACGCCACTACATGGTAGATAGACAGATAGTTAGATAACTCTTGATTGCATTTAAACAAAGTGATTACAATAACGTAAAAGTGATGAACTACAAACATGATACACATTATTATTGTTACGAGCTTGGGTTCGAGACAATTAAATACTGCCGATTGAATTACCAAAATTGACACTATAATTACAGAACACTAATTACAACTTAAAACCATTGTGGTAGCTCTGTCGTTAATGTTGCGTGCAGCTTATGTCGTGTTGCTGAATCAACGGTACTTATTATTATTTATAATTATGATGACGAAAGCGATTCCAATGCGATGAAAACATAAAGCTAATAATAAAGAAATGACTGTTTTTGAAAAAAGAATTCCAAGATATTAAATTAAATTAATTTGTAATTAGAATTTTTAGCCAATCAAAAATTATTTTGATTTGATATAGCCAGTACCGCAGAACGACAATTTCATATGTAAAGACCTGTTATAAGAAATGTAGGCGTATTTATATTTAGTTATTTCGACCTACAAGGTTTCGAACCCACGACTCTCTGAGGTTCAGTCCGTCTTGGCTTAGATATGTTGACTGACTAAATTACTATGTCTGTGACGACGTATTATTATTAATAATAATTAAGTTTAATAATAATTAAGTTAACCGTATAGTGGCGGTTAAGTATATCCACTTCCCCATATCTTTCCGTGGGTGTCGTAAGAGGCAACAGAGGTTAATAGCAGGAGTAGTAGTAGATGGGCGGCAGCATCTTTTTGATAACAGCAACAGTACAATAAGAAACTGCGGTGGCCAACCCGCTCACCAAGAGCGGCAACTATGGCAAATATTCCCCCGTAAGCAATGACAAAAAAACTGGCCCCCAATTCCCGGAAACCCTGCTATTCCCGGCTACGGTGGCGACCATGGTAATGGCGGGTTAAGGGGTGCTAAGAATATCCGCTGGAGGTTTTTTTGCCACCTAAGACGATTCAACATAGCAATATTTAACGCATGCACCCTGAGAACTAAAAAGAAGATCGTGGAGCTGAAAGAAGAGATGCATGGAGTATTGCTGCCATATTTGAGCTGGTGCTGCAAAATGCCACCTAGCAGCTTTGGACTCAATGAAAAGGCGTGGTTATTGGTGACCCGAATTTGGTTAAAATCAATCTTAATATAAATCTTAACAGCCTCGAACACAGACGAAAATTAGCGGAGAGTGTGTGAAGGAATTGCATAATTTAATTCTTCCCTCTCCTTTCCACCATCGGACAACCAGGCGTTTGGCCACCTGTCGTTGTTGTCTTACCACGCATTCGAACCAAACGGTTCGCTACGTCATGCGTACAGCAAAGGAGTGGAATAAGTTGTCAGCATATGTCTTTCCATCCAATCACAGTGTGGGTGTCTTCAAGGCAAGAGTGAATAGGCTTTTGTTAAGTCAGTGCGTATCACCATCTTAGGCTACATCACCATATACCATCAGGTGGGATTGTAATAAGCGCTGGATTAGTAGAATATATAAAAAAGGGATAGACAAGTTTCAATGGGCTATTGTGGGATTAGATATTACAATGGGATAGTGTGAGCTAAAGATACGGAATGTGGAAAAGGGCAACGGAGCCCAAAGGGCCAGCAGCTGGCCGACTTTTTTTTTTTATAGGAGAGGGGGAATACGAGCATGCGGCTCACCTGATGGTAAGTGACTACCGCTGCCCATGAACAACTGCAACACCAGGGGAATCGCAGATCGCAAAAAGGAGTACGCTCTTTTCTTGAAGGTCCCTAAGTCGTATCGGTCCGGAAGTTAATGGAGAAAGAGGAATTCTTTATGATTAATTATTTCTTCCAGAAGCAGCCCCACAAGAATGGAACCTGTTGGAGACCCGTAGGTTCAGAAAAAAATTAAACTGACCTCATTTGATGACTGACGGCAGACGGCAACTATTCAATTATGTCTTAGTGATCGCGAGGGTAAAAACAAGCAGCGATCACCGAGTAGTTAGAGGCACACTAATTTTAAACGTTAAGTTGTAGACTTGCTCTAATACATAGTCCCGAAAACTTTCAGCTCGAGTAACAAAACTGTTTTCAATGCATAGACTGCAAATAAGTGAACGGTACGAACGAAAAGCTCTTAGAAACTGTCCTTTCGGTCGATGATAAGTTCTGCAAGATCCGTTGAAGAAGAACCCAAAAACTTTCCGATCACACTCTTATTCTAATGGCTCATCTGTTAGATGGGAAATGAAGTCTTCAGCAGATTTGACAGCATACGGGAAATTGAACAGACAAATCTCCAAATGCATGCATCGGGACACACGTAACTTGAATCCAGCTCGTATTTAAGAAGCTATCGAGCGTAACCAGAGAATGTCTGCCAGAAAGAACCAACTGTATAAGTTGAGGATCGAATGTGGTATTATTGTTTCCGGGACACCTAAGGTTTTGAGAGCGATTGAGAGGATCTATGAGCAGCTATACACGTCATCGTTGGAGTCAACGCAAATGTGAGTAAGGATCAAAGACCAAGTCTTATCCAATACTATTCCGAAGATGAGCAACAAGCGAAAGACGTCAGTATGCGCAAGATTAGAATGACTCTCCAGCACATTAGAAATGGCAAGTTCCCGGGCGAGGGTGGAATTACAGCGGAGCTTCTGAACGCGTCTGAATAACTAGTTCTTGCGCGATGGCACCGCCACGATTATTACAAAGTGAAATATGTTCACCTGATTTTGTCCCCATGGTGTTGGAAAAGGCAAACGTGAAATATTCCTGTAACGATATTAGAACTTCTGATTTGCGCCCGACTTAAAAACACCTATATCAACGATAGGGAACATAAGACGATGTTCTGTCTCCTTCTAATTATTAAATAAATTACTTGATAAAAATTAGGAAGTGGATGAAGTATGGTAATATTGACATTGATATACTTTATTTGTATTAGACGCCTATAGTCTATACCAAGATGAGTATTACTTGAAGAATTAAGGCTGTGATCATACTAACATTTTTCTAAAATAGCTAAAACATTAGCGCATTAACGTGTGACAAGAATTATATATTCATTCAACTATAAATAAAAATAGACATGGATAACAATTGCAATAGTTATTTAAATTTAAATTAATTCAAACTAGCTGTTGAACTTTACTTAGTAACTAGACATATAACTAGTTTGGCCTTAAAATAGTTACGATCTGAATTCAAAGAATAATGAGCCACTCCCATGTAATTTTTTGTAGGCTATTTTTACTTGCGTCAAGAAATTTAAAATATAGCGGTCGAAATGCCGAACAATTTTGGAGGGAAGTTAGGAATTAAATATATTACAGTTTTAACAAAATCCACATCAGAATATCCTGTATGGTATAAGACTATTACCTGCCTTATTGACGAATCGTTATAACCTCAACATCTAGTTAGTTTAGTATTCAATTATGCTTATATATCATCATCATTACAGCTTTTCATAAGTCCACTGCTGGACATAGGCCTCCCTCAAGGAATGCCACAAAGCACGGTCCCGAGCCACCTGCATCCATCGACTTCCTGCATATCTTACCAGGTGGTCACTCTATCTAATAAGGGGACGACCCTACACTTCATCCGCCAGTACGAGGCCACCACTCGAGAACCTTTTTTTCCCAACGGTTGTCGGTTCTTCGAGCTATATGGCCGGCCCATCATTGCCACTTCAGCTTACTAATCCGTTGGGCTATGTCGGTTACTCTGGCTCTACTGCAGATATACTCATTTCTAAGTTTATCACGCAGAGAAACTCCGAGCATATCCCTCTCCATAGCTCGCTGAGCGACCTTGAGCTTCCTCATATGGCCAGCAGTGACGGACCACGTCTCAGTACCATAGGTCATCACTGGCAACACGCACTGGTTGTACAGTCTCGTTTTCAAGTTTTGAGGTATACCTGACGAGAAGATGTGCCGTAACTTTCCGAACGCTGCCCAACCGAGTTGAATCCGTCGATTGACCTCTCGGTCGAAGTTGGAATTACCTAGTCGGACTATTTGTCCCAGGTAAACATACTCGTCAGCAACTTTGAGCTTAGTGCTCCCAACAACTACCGGCATTGGTGTGACATGGACATTAAACATGACCTTTGTTTTGTCCATGTTCATCTTAAACCTATCCGTTGGGAAACACTATTGAGGTCATTAATAATAGTGCTTAGGTCCTCCAGCGATTCTGCCATAAGGACTATATCGTCGGCAAATCGAAGGTGTAGTGATGTACTTGCCATTGATGTTGATACCGTAACCTTTCTAGTCCAGAAGCTTGAGGACGTCTTCCAATGCAGTGGTGAAGAGTTTCGGGGATATCACGTCACCCTGTCTTACACCTCTCTGCAATTGGATAGGTTTCGTACCCTGGTTCTGTATTCGGATAGCCATCGTAACCTAATAGTGCAAACACTTCAGCACTTCGATATACCGACTGTTAACTTGACACCGCTGAAGGGACTGCACACCACCCAAATTTCGACGGAATCAAAGGCTTTCTCATAGTCCACATACGCCAGACATAGTGGCAAATTGTACTCCCCGGACTTCTGTACAATTTTTCGAAGGGTATGAATGTGGTCTATGGTGCTAAAGCCTTTTGGGAAACCGGATTGTTCGGGGGGCTGGAAGTCGTCAAATCTGCGCGCGAGACGATTCGTAATGACTCT